TTTGCTCTTCCACTGAGGCAACCACTTCTGGACCCCATCTATAATATTCTCTCTAATAAAAGACTACTGGGGCTTAAAATGAGAGTTTTATTAGATCCTTCCCAAGTTATATCCAATTAGAGTATTTTCGTTCCGATCCATTGATTGTCCTTTTGACGTCAAGTAGACTGAATCTCTGGCAGCACCGTTAGTTGCCTCCTCCAAAATCACCTTCTTTGCACCATAGATCCTTCTCTAATTATTCATTCCACAAACACGTGTCCAAGCCCACGCTGTGAAAGCTGCTCTGCCAGGCCTGGGGAGAGGCCAGCAAACAAAATGCTGTCCCTGCCCCGAACACATACTATTACAGCTGAGTCAGGGAGAATCTTGTGCAACCTGCTTTTTCACATCCCAAGGAAAGTTTCCTTCCACCTTCATCTTATATGAGACTATTACTCAGTATCCTACTTCTTGGTTTTATCAAAAATTTCTGATGAGAAAAGATATACATACTCACTGAAAAAACTGAAAAATATAGACCTGCATGAAGGAAAAAGTAAAATATTATGTAATGCTCTCATTCAGAGATAACTGTTAAAACATCAGGGGGGTATATATTTCCAGACCTTTTTCAATGTGTGTGTGTGTGTGTGTGTGTGTGTGTGTGTGTGTGTGTGCTCATGCACGTGCAATTATATATACTATTTTTAATTTTTTAAAAGTTTATTTATTTTTGAGAGAGAGACAGAATACAAGCAGGGGAGGGGCAGAGAGAGAGGGAGACACAGAATCTGAAGCAAGGCTCCAGGCTCTGAGCTGTCAGCACAGAGCCCAACAAGGGGCCTGAACTCAGGAACTGTGAGATCATGACCTGAGCCAAAGTCAGATGCACAACTGAATGAGCCACCCAGGTGCCCCTATACACACTGTTTTGTAAAATTTACTGACAGAATAAATGGTATGAGAGAAAACAAAGAAGAGAGAAACAGAAACAGAAAGAAACAGAGTGGCTAAAGCAAAGAACCAGAGACAGAGAGAGACAGAGAGAGAGAAAGAGAGAGAGAGAGAGAGAGAGAGAGAGAGAGAGATGGCAGGCTGGCAGTTTCCCTGAAACCAATTTAAGGCTCCTTCTGTTCCAGGAAGAACAACCAGTCTCAGGGGCCTGGGCCAGCCAGTTAATGAGCCAAAAGCCATTCTCCTACTTGTCTTTCCAAGCACACTGTATCTATAAACTGACCCAATCCTGCAAGAACCTGGCCACAAGCTCAAGGCCACTAAAAATTTACACGGGGACTATTAATAGTAAAAAGCCTCACTGCCTCCTGTCTGGTTTAAGAAAACATTTATTTAAAACATTTTTAAAGGAATTATGAGTTTAACAGTGCATAGAAAATTGAGAAAATGTCAATAATTTCTATCATGAATTTTTGACAGCACATTTTTTTTGTTTTCTTTATGCTTATATTTCAGTATCTGTTTAATTTGTCACATCACCTCCTATTGTGACGTGAAATGGGTTTATTTGGCAAAAAAGAAAAAAAATGCCTAGTCACAATCCAGCCAGATTCTGCCTGAGCTCAAGGTCATCACTGAAGAAAAAGCAGATTGATGGCATTCAAATGTACTAGAGCAAATGTTTTTTGGTTAAAAATACACCCAAGTCATGTGTCAGAGCCAAGATACCAAAATACATCATCTTTTTAGGCACAAGATCCTTATGATACAAAAAATACCTTATGATAAGGTATTTCTTGCTCATCAGTGAGGGTTTTGAGGTCATATGGAGAATGACTGATTTCATTCTGGTTAGAAATGGAAAGCAAAGTCTCTGATGATCCCCACTGGGGGGTCTCCCATCTGCCGGGGTATCCTCCAGGAAAACATTCTTCATGTTTCCAACTCAGGGCTTGACAAGCAGTTACTTCCAAAGAAGCTGCCCCTGAGGGTCTGGGGGTGGGCTGGGGTCGTGGGGACGAGAACACAAAAGCATTCAGTTCTTCAGCAGGAGAAGGAGCAAATGCTTGGGAACGGCTGCTCCCAACAAACTGCACCGAGCATGGCCCTCACCTGGTTCTCACAGAGCCCACTGTCTTGGAAGAAAATGTGCTCACTCAACCCACTGCTGCCTCATTACGAGAAGGGAAATGGGTCCAATCACCAGCTTTTCTGTTAGGCGTTACCAAAGGTGAACACACTGAGCTCTTGATGTGTCTGTGATCACAGAGCACACCCTGCAGTCACTTCAAAATCATAATAAACTCTCAAAAAAGGCTGTGTCTTTTTTGAGTGGGCTATGTAAGCATTAAAAGATCACCCTTGGGGGGCGCCTGGGTGGCTAGCTTGTTTAAGCGTCAGACTCTCTCGACTCAGGTCATGATCTCATGGTTTCATGAGTTTGAGCCCTATGTCAGGCTCTGCACTAAAGATGCTGAGCCTACTTGGGATTCTCTCTCTCCCCCTCTATCTCTGCCCCTCCCCTGCTCATGCTGTCTCTGTCTCTCTCAAAAAAATAATTAAACTTTGGACTTCAAGCTGTATTACAAAGTTGTAATCATCAAGACAGTATGGTACTGGCACAAAAACAGATACTCAGATCAGTGGAACAGAATAGAGAACCCTGAAATAGACCCACAAACGTATGGCCAACTAATCTTTGACAAAGCAGGAAAGAATACCCAATGGAATAATGGCAGTCTCTTCAGCAAGGGAGTGGTGCTGGGAAAACTGGACAGCAACAAGCATAAAAATGAATCTGGACCACTTTATTACACCATACACAAAAATAAATTCAAAATGGATGAAAGACCTAAATGTAAGGCAGGAAGCCATAAAAATCCTCGAGGAGAAAGCAGGCAAAAACCTCTTTGTCCTTGGCCGCAGCAACTTCTTACTCAACACATCTCCAGAGGCAAAGGAAACAAAAGCAAAAATGAACTACTGGGACCTCACCAAAATAAAAAGCTTCTGCACAGCGAAGGAAACAATCAGCAAAACTAAAAGACAACCGATGGAATGGGAGAAGATATTTGCAAATGACATATCAGATAAAGGATTAGTATCCAAAATCTATAAAGAACTTATCAAACTCAACACTCAAAAAAACCAATAATCCAGTGAAAAAATGGGACATAAGACACGAATAGACACTTTTCCATCCAAATGGCCAACTGACACATGAAAAAATGCTCAACTCACTCATCATCAGGAAAATACAAATCAAAACCACAATGAGATACCACCTCAAACCTGTCAGAATGGCTAACATTAACAACTCAGGCAACAACAGATGTTGGCGAGGATATGGAAAAGAGGATTTCTTTTGCGCTGCTGGTGGGAATGCAAACTGGTGCAGCCACTCTGGAAAACAGTATGGAAGTTCCTCAAAATTTAAAAATAGAACTACCCTATGACCCAGCAATTGCCCTACTAGGTATTTATCCAAGGGATACATGTATGCTGTTTCGAAAGGACACATGCACCCCAATGTTTATAGCAGCACTATCAACAATAGCCAAAGTATGGAAAGAGCCCAAATATCCATCGATGGATGAATGGATAAAGAAGATGTGGTATCTAGATACAATGGAGTATTACTCGACAATCAAAAAGAATGAAATCCTGCCATTTGCAACTACGTGGATGGAACTGGAGGGTATTATGCTAAGTGAAATTAGTCAGAGAAAGACAAAAATCACATGACTTCACTCATATGAGGACTTTAAGATACAAAACAGATGAACATAAGGGAAGAGAAGCAAAAATAATATAAAAACAGGGAGGGGGACAAAACATAAGAGACTCTTAAATATGGAGAACAGAGAGTAACTGGAGGGGTGGTGGGAGGGGGGATGGGCTAAATGGGTAAGGGGCATTAAGGAATCTATTCCTGAAATCATTGTGGTACTATATGCTGACTAACTTAAATGCAAATTAAAAATAAATAAATTAGATAGATAAACTTAAGAAAAAAAAATCACCCTTGGAAGGCAGGCGGTTTTCTGCGACTACTTCTTGGTTACCAGCCCTCTGGTCTCCCTGTTTCCCCTTGTCTGCAGAGAGGCTGCCCGCAGGATGCTCCCACCCTGGCTTTGCAGCCCCTCAAAGGGTCCACATCGATTTGGGAGCAGGGATTGTGATGAGAGGAAGGAATGCCACCTGCCTCTCTGGTGTCTCTCTACCATCCTGAACCTTGTCATCTCACACTCCTCTCCTGATGACACAACGTGGCCTTCCATCAGCCACCTGCCCCTCTACCCTGCAGATGCCTGCCTTGGGAGATAGGGAAGAAGGGAGGGTGCAGAGAAGGGGACAAGGCCTCCTTCCTTCCACCACCTACCCAGGCTGGCAACCCTGGAGCCCTCCCAAAATGTGGTGAGAACTCACTGCAAGCTACAACATGGGGACTCTAGAGGAAAAAACAGGTAGATGATTTCCTCTAAGCCCTGAGAAAGAGCAAGGTCTGAGCAATTCAGCAGCCTGCCTGCTTCCAAAGTTCCTGTTCTGCAGGGACAAACCTGTGGCCTCCATCTGCATGGACCCCCCCCTCTTGCACCACTACTCAGGGCTCCTCTGCAAAGGGGAAGGTCTCACACAGCCCGCAGAAGGGAAGGCTGGACAGCAGGACCCCCACACAAGAAGAACAGGGGGCACAGAGAGCAGAGCAAACGTTATTTCACCAAAGGACCTAATGAGAAGGCAGAAAGTGCATATTTACTATGCACACCTAGTTGCACTAAAATTCACAGCTGCTGCTTAACATATTTCTGACAAGAACATGTTAAAAATATATGTGGAGGGTTGCACAGGGAGTAGTTTGCAATCGTACTTTAAATCACATTTACTTAAACCTCCCTAATTTTAATTCCCCTTACGCTGCAGCTGACATAATCATGATCACATGATTAGCAGATGTAGACTTATTCTTTTTAAAAAGGGAAATTCTTCTTTGGGATGAAAAGCAGCACACGCCAGAAAGATCAAGCCTGACTTGGGCACATCAGCTAGGCCTACATACAGTCCGGTTCTCCAAACTGGAAGACATGGCTTAGGGAATTCTTTCCCTTACCCTGTTTTGTTTCCTTCGGGGCTTTCGCTGCTCACCTCCGAGGCCACTGAAACAAACAAGCAAAAAAGGAGACTTAAGACAGCCACCCGGCACCTGCGGGCCTCAGCCTGTGCCAGCCTGCTGTGGCCACCTGGACGCCAGGGTCCAGGCACTACTTTTCACTCACTCAGCTCCTGGCCAGAGGACAAAGAACCTTACCTGCCATTGTTCTACTCGACCCGGTGAGACTAACCCGGAGAAGTCCGGCTCCCAAGATAAAGGACTAGGAGGGATGAATAATTAATCATTCACTGGAACTTGAAGCAGACGGTAAGTGTGAGGCCAGGGTGAATAAAAGAAAGAAACACTAAGCAAAAAGGCCAAGTTTTATTCCATAAGGAAGCTCAGACCAGACAGGGAGGTGGTGGGGAGGTGGTGGGAGGGGGGTATGTTGAACTTCTGGGAGCTGGAGTCTTTTTCTTCCAAACACTAGTTTTGGACTGAGAGAAATCAGACCTTGGTTTCCAAACAACTCCAAGAGGATACTTGCTGTTAAAGGAAAATGCCATCTTTGGAGCCGGTCACCTGGTTTCTGCACCTGCAAGTGGGTGACGAAGAGTTCATCATGTTCCTCGTGCCCAAGTCGTCCCCATTCCTAGGAAACTTCCTTTTCATTCCGAAAGCAGTTGACTATTGCAGGCACAACAACTCAACTAAGCCATTTGCTGATTCTTTTAACCATGTGTCCTTCATTCAACAAATCTTTAGGAAGCCTTTTCTCTGTGCCAAGATCTGTGCTGAGACACTTGGGATCAAAAAGAAAAATAGGACCAAAGCATCTCCAGACAGACTTGCGGGCTTGTGGCATTAAACACCTGCCTGTGTTGGTGACTTCCACATCACTGTCTCCAGCCCAACATCTCCCCTGCTCAAAAATCAGAGCCAACATGTCTCCTGGATATCTCATGCTATCTAATAGGCATCTAAATGGAAGTTGTCCAAACCCAGACTCCAAACCTGCTGCTCCCACAGCCTCTTTGTACACACGTTTCTAGGAGTCATCCATGCTTTCAGCATTGGTCAATCTTTTGGGGAACTTGAAAACACAGCAGTTTTTTTAAAAAATTATTTTGATGTTTATTTTTAAGAGGGAGAGAGAGAGAGAAAGAGCAAGTATGAGCAGGGGAGGGGCAGAAAGAAAAGGAGACAGAGAATCCAAAGCAGGCTCCAGGCTCTGAGCTGTCAGCACAAGAGCCCAAGCACGGCTTGAACCCACAAATGGTGAGATCATGACCTGAGTCAAAGTCAGAAGCTTAACAGACTGAGTCACCCAAGAGCTGACTAAAAATCATTGTTAACTGGGCTCCTGGGAGGCTCAGTCATTAAGTATCTGACTTCAGCTCAGATCATGATTTCACAGTTCCGGAGTTTGAGTCCCACATCGGGTGAGCTGGAGCCCCACTTCAGGTAAGCCCTGCTTCTTTCTTTTCTTTTCTTTTCTTTTCTTTCTTTCTTTCTTTCTTTCTTTCTTTCTTTCTTTCTTTCTCTCTTTCTTTCTCTCTTTCTTTCTTTCTTTCCCTTTCCCTTTCCCTTTCCCTTTCCCTTTCCCTTTCCCTTTCTCTTTATCTCTCCCCCCCCATCCCTCACAGGATTCTCTCTCTCTCTCTCTCTACTACCCCTCACTCACTTGCGCTCTCTTCTCTCAAAAAAATAAATAAATTTAAACTAAAATTAAAAATCTTAAAAAAAATAATTTTAACAAGGTAATAGAGAACTGAAAAGACAAAAGAGGACCCCTGAGGTAGCACAGAGGCGGTCATTGCTCAAAGAAGCCACTACCCCAAGAGCTAGGGGAACAGAAAGGAGGGTTGGGGTTATCTGAACCTACAGTCTGTGAGGAGGGGCCCACAGAGCTAGACTTCTGAGGAGGGAACCAAAGTCAGAAGGTGCCGGTACCTCTGAGGGGGCCCGGTGAGGCTGGTTCTGGGAGTGTGAGGAAATTGGAACCATCTACTGTTGCAGTGTCACTGACAGGAACAGGAAGTCAACATGATGGAACAGCGCCCCCTTCCACCCCAGGCTTGGTGTGAGGAATCGCCTCTAGCATCTCCTTTCAGCAGAACTGAAAGTGGACCAAGCTAGAATAGCTGAAGGGTGGTCTGCAGACAGACACGAGCCTCGAAACAAGAACTTAAGAACCAGCACAGTCCACCTCTTTAGCTACTCAGCATCCACACACCTTTCTACCAAACTTCTTTCTCTCGAATGCCACCTCCAACTTGCCAACGGATCCTCTCGGCTCTACCTCTAAAATATCTCTAAGACTTGACTGTTTCTTACCCCCATACTGCACCAACTGTGTTCCAAGGACCAGTCTCACCTGGATTGCACAGTAACCTCCTGACAGGCTTCCTTTACTTGACCTACTGTCAACTCTCCACACAGAAGCCAACATCACTATATTCATGAGCTAGGGCTGCCCTCACCAATTATCACCAATTTGGTAGATTAAAACAGAAATTGACTCTCTCATACTTCTGGAGGCCAGAGGTCTGAGATCAAGGTCTCAGCAGAGTTGCTTACTTCCGCATGTTTTGGAGGGAGAACTTAGGTGTTCCATACCTCTCTCCTAGCTTCTGGTGGTTGCAGGCAATCCTTGGTGTCCCTTGGTCTTGTAGACAGATCACTCCAATCTCTGCTTCTGTCTTCACATTGTCTTCTTCTCTGTGTCTCTAGGTCTTTCTGTGGCCATTTTTCTCCTTATAAGGATGATAGTCATTGAGTTTAGGGCCCATCCTAAATCCAGTCTGGTATTATTTTGAGATCCTTAACTTGATCATATCTGCAAAGAATCTATTTTCAAATAAGTTCTCATTCACGGGTACTGGGGATTAAGACTTGAAAATCTTTTAGGGGCCACTGTTCAACCCAATACAGTGATAGTGGTAAAACACAAATCAAATCACGTCACCCCTCTGCTCAAAATCCTGCAATGGCTCCCATCGTACCCTGGGTAAAAATTGCACTTCTATACAATTCTGGATGCTACACCTCTCTGACTATTCTTGCCTTTTTCACCCTGCAGGAACTACGTCATTCCTCACCACTTCCTACACATGCCAGCCTCAAGTCTCTGCACATGCTGTCCCTCTACAGGGAACATTCTCCCTCCAGATATCCCCATGGCTTTCTCCCTCAGATTCTTCAGATCTTCTCTCAAAAGTCACCTTCTCAGCGGGGCTTCCCCTAACCTCACTGTATAAAATTCCACCTCATTTCCTGCTTTATTTTTTGTCATAGAATTTAATAATACATCATCCTATAAGTGTTGAGTTCTATTACTTTATGTCTCCTGCCATTAAAATATAAGCTCCACTTGGGGCACCTGGGTGGCTCAGTTAGTTGAGCATCTGACTTCGGCTCAGGTCATGATCTCACAGCTCATGAGTTCAAGCCCCGCATTGGGCTCTGTGCTGACAGCTCAGAATCTGGAGCCTGCTTCAGATTCTGTGTCTCCCTCCCTCTGCCCCAACCTACTCGCATTCTGTCTCTCTCTCAAAAATAAATAAACATTAAAAAATTATAATATACATATATATGTGTGTATATGTATATATATAAGCTCCACAAAGACAAAGAATTTTTTTGCCAATTTCATTCCCTGCCATACCTGAAGCACCTAGAATGTTGCCTGGTGCCTATAGGCACTCAGTAATTATACTTTAAAAGGCAGTTTATTCAACTAGAACTGCACAAAACAAAAAGTATAAAAGTTCCTGTGTTAACGGGGCCCAATCCTAGAGCAGCACTAAAGCTAGCAAGTACGTCGTAAATCACAACACACACAAATCTCGTTTTGGTGTATCTGATTCACCTTATACTGGTGATGTCTAATGATACCATAATTGTCACCAGCGGAGTAAAATAGTTGAAACTTTTCTCAAATATAAAAAATAAAAAAAAACAATTTTAATTAACAGTGATAGAGGAAAGACTGAATTCTTTCTATTTTTGTTGTAGAACATAATGCTACAAAACCTTTGCCATATTGAAAGGCAATTAAAGAGTATTCAGCAAAAATCCCTAGGAAAAAAATTCCTTTAGAGATGTGTCAGAAGGTTAATTAATGAAAATATGTTATTTTCTGGTTTAGTTTACATTTGCAGCATCTATAAGCTTTTTAAAAGACTTTTTAAACCACTTTACTGAGATATAATTGACATAAAATAAACTGCACATATTTAGAACATACAATTTGATAAGTTTTGACATTTCTATAAACCCATGAAATTATCCCCCTCAAGAGAGTGAATCACATCATAAATAAGATAGTGAATATAACCATTACCCTCAAAACTTTCCTTGGGACCCTTTACAACCCCTTCTAACCTGCCCTAACCTGCTCTTTGATAGTCTGTGGTTTTATTTGCATTCAGTATAAAATACTTTCTAATTTTTCTTTTGATTTCTTCTTTCACCCATTTAGAGATATATTCTTTAGCTTCTAAAGATTTGGAAACTTTCCAGAGATCTTTCTCTTGTTGGTTTCTTATTTAATTCCATTATGATTACAGAGCATGTTTTGAGTGATTTAATTCCATTATGAAAACAGAGCAAGTTTAAAAGGTGAATCCTTTTAAACGTATTGAGACTCTTTTATGCAGCAGAATATGGTCTATCTTAGTAAATGGACCATAACATAAAAAGAATGTGTATTCCACTCTTATTATATGGCATGTTCTCTAAATGTCAATTATGTCTACTTGGTTGATAGTGTTGATTTGATTTTCTATTTCCTCACTGACTTTCCTTTTTTTGTTGTTGTTGTTGTTTTTAATTTTTTTAATGTTTATTTATTTTTGAGACAGAGAGAGCCACAGCATGAATGGGGGAGGGGCAGAGAGAGAGGGAGACACAGAATCGGAAGCAGGCTCCAGGCTCTGAGCCATCAGCCCAGAGCCTGATGCGGGGCTCGAACTCACGAACCGTGAGATCATGACCTGAGCTGAAGTCAGACGCTCAACCGACTGAGCCACCCAGGCGCCCCTTTCTTTTTTTTTTTAATAACTTTAAGTTTATTTATTTTGAGAGAGAGAGAGAGAGCAAGTAGAGGGGGTGCAGAGAGAGAGAGAGAGAGAGAGAGAGAGAGAATCCCAAGCAGTATCCACACTGTCAGTGCAGAGCCTGATGCTGGGCTCAAACTCACAAACCACAAGATCATGACCTGAGCTGAAGAAGGACACTTAACTGGCTGAGCCACCCAGGTGCCCCTTCTTATTGATTTTCTAATTTTCTCTACTTATCCTATGAATTATTGAAGGAGGGGTATTGAAATCTCTAGCTATAATTGAAGACTTGTCTACTTTGCATTTGTTAGTTTTCACTCATGTATTTTATTCTATTTTTTTAAATTTATTTATTTATTTATTCTGAAAGAAAGACAGAGTCGGGGAGAGCAGAGAGAGAGAGGGAGAGAAAGAGAATCCCAAGCAGGCTCTGCACTGTCAGCACAGAGCTGACAGGGCTCAAACTCATTAACCAGTAGGTTATGTCCTGAGCTGAAATCAGGAGTTGGATGCCTCTTCACTTCATGTATTTTTGTTAGTAGGGGCATAATACTTGGGATTTTTATGCCCTCTTAATGAACTGGCTCTTTCACCACTAGAAAAGGACATTTTGTATCCCTGGTAATACTCTTTACTCTAAAATCTACTTTGTCCGATAGAAACATAGCCACTTCAGCTTTGATTGGTATTAACATGGTAAATTTTTCCCATTTTTTAGAAAATGTTTATTCATTTTTGAGAGAGAGAGAGAAAAAACAAGAGTGTGAGTGAGGGAGGGCCAGTGAGAGAAGGGAACAGAGGATCTGAAGCAGGCTCTGTGCTGATAGTAGCAAGCCCAATGCAAAGCTCAAATCCACGAACCATGAGATCATGACCTGAGCTGCAGTCAGACACTTAACTGACTGAGCCACTCAGGCACCCCTACAATTTATGCCTTTCAATTGAAGTGTTTAGACTATTTACATGTAATATAAAGCTAGCTTTAAGCCTATCATCCTGTTTTTTATTTTCTATTTGTCTCATCTGTTCTTTATTCTTTTCCCTCTACTTTTCTTCCTTTTCTATTGAGTACTTTTTACAATTTAATTTTATCCCCTTACATGGTTTATTGACTCCTTATTTTCTTATTTTAGTGTTTGCTTTTGGGGGTTGTACTATATGTCATTAATATAGCATGATATGCTTTCAAGTAAAATATCACTTTACATAGAGAATCTTATAATAGTGTATTTCCAATTCTTCCCATTAGGCCTTTATACTATGTTTCATGCTTCCTACTTATACATATGTTATAAAACTAACAATTAATTGTTATTTTTGTTTAAACAATTATCATTTTTGTACCAGCTTTATTGAGATGTAATTCACATGCTATATAATTCACCCTTTGAAAGTGTACAATTCAGTGGTTTTTAGTATATTCACAAGATTGTGCAACCATTACCACTATATAATGCCAGAATATTTTAATCATCCCAAAAGGAAACCCCTTTTAACCTCTATCTCCCAAATCCCCCATTCTTCCAGCTGTTTCTTTTCTGTCTCTATAGATTTGCCTTTTCTGGACATTTCATATAAATGGAATCATACAATATGTCATTTTTTATGATTGGCTTCTTTCACCTAGCATACTTTCAAGGTTCATTCATGTTGTCATATGTATCAATATTTTATTCCTTATAATTGCTGAATAATATTCCATTATGTAAATATATTACTTTTTAAATCCTTTCATCAGTTGATGGACATTTAGGTTATTTCCACTTTGGAACTGTTAATGAATAATGTTGGTATGAACGCTCTGAAAATAAATAAAGAAACCTTATTTATTTATTTATTTATTTATTTATTTAGGAGGAGGGGCAGAGGGAGAAGGAAAGAGAGAATCTTAAGCAGACTCCAAGTCTAGCACAGAGCCTGACATGGGGGCTCAATCTCATAACCATGAGATCATGACCTGAGCCAAAATCAAAAGTTGGACTCTAAAATGACTAAGCCACCCAGGTGCCCCAAGGAAACCTTATTTAAACTGGAGTCAGGAGCTCTTATGCACTACCTCTCAAGCACTATCAATCACTGTTAGAAAGAAGCATATCTCATATTCCCCGACAGGAAGAAGCTTACTCTACATACTCTATCAAGAAGAAGGAAGAATTTCTCCTTGCCTAGCAACAGCCCAACCAATGAGAAACCACCACATTCAGCCAATGAGAAGCTGTCACAGCCCCTCACAGCTTCTTTTTTTCCCTTGTAAAAGCAAGCCCCTCTTCTCTGTTCTCTGAACTTGCCCATGGTTCACCATAGTTTGCTTGTCCCAAATTGCAATTCTTTTCTATTCCCAAATAAACTAATTTTACTGGTAAAATATCTGGCTATTTTATTATTTATTATTTTTTATTTCTTTTTGAGAGAGAGAGAGAGAGAGTATGAGCAGGGGAGGAGCAGAGAGAGAGGGAGACACAGAATCTAAAGCAGGCTCCAGGCTCTGAGCTGTCAGCACAGGTTGTTCTTTTTTTAAGGTTAACCATACTCATGTACATGTTTTTGTGTGGACATGTGTTTTCATTTCATTTGGGTGTGTACCTATGAGTAGAATTACTGAGTCATAGGGTAACTTTATGTTTAACCCTTTACGGAACTGCCAGACTATTTTCCAGAGCAGCTGCACCATTTTACATACCCATCAGCAATTA